TTTTTTTTTTTTTTTTTTTTTAAAGAGAGGACCAAGTACACAGCTAATATATATGGTTATAAAAACATAACCAGAGTCAAATCCTCTGCTACTTCACCAACATGTTAACAGAGAAATCAAAGCCCTCATGCAACACTTAAACTGAGGATTTTCTGCTTTGTCTCAACCAACACATTTTAGAACTGCAAAAACTCAAAAACTAAACAATACTCCCAATGGAGTTTTTCCAAGAGCTTTAAGCTTACAAATATTCTACACTTCTGAAGAGCAGTTGCTTCAGTCACTTTTTTCTTCTTTTTCGTCTTCAAGCCTTAAAAAACCCTATATAGTTAACAAGATTAAAAAGTTCTGATCTACACACTTTTTATGTTGTTTAACCAAACAGTTCAGTTTAATGTCTTCTCTCCAGTCCAGCAAAGAGAATCAATTTTCTTTCCTATTAAAATGGATGCTAATCAATCTGTACCAGGCTCTTAATAAGGGTAAGGAGGACAATATTTAGTAATACAAAATTTACTTAATATGTTTATTGCCTTACAAATAGCCCTTAAAAATGTCTTTTCTCTACTGCCTGCAGCTACAAGTTTAAAACTGTTACTTCTAGAGACTAAGAAAATCTACATTTCCTCCTCTGCCAATGGTAAAATATGAAATAAAATTAGGGCAAAGTTGGCTGCAAAGCACTTGCTGGTATTTTGTGGCTGTCTGTCTGGCAGCAAGATGCAGCACCTGATTTCTAGCTGCTAAACTCAAAAAAAAAAACAGGTAAAGATTAAATTAACACATTTTTTCCATATAAACAATTGCTGTAGTTCCCACAAGAAATTTAGGCAAGTGGGACCAAAAATCGCTGGTCAACATTATTATTAAAAAGGAGGGGAAGTGGTCCACAAGACAGTGGCAGTTATGTTAAAAACTTAGTACCTGTATACATGATTACAACTCAGGAATATAACAGAAGCATCTTTATTCAGTCCTTGTTGTTTTGTGAATACATGTAGTGTTAACTCTCAAGCACTTAGATCAGGGGTGCACAATTATTTCAGTTGGAGGGCTGCTTAATGAGTTTTGGT